TGCGTCTGGGCCGGGGTCACTGGATGCGTTTGATCGTTTCACCAGATGAATTGTCTGGCTGAGCCAGGGTAAATTTCTATCTTGTACTTTAGGTTTAATATTGTTTTGGTTCTCAACTTTAAAATATGATAATTTAGTATCAAAAAATTTCAAATGTGTTGAATCTCCCGTTGTTTCCAGCAGAGGGATAGAATCTCACAAAGAGGTTTCCAGTCTATATGAAATTGAGATTTTTTTGTTCTTATGATCCTCAACTGGCACTACTGAAACAATGCTCTGTTACTACTGTTGTTACATCTGAAGGGCATTTGTGTCCTTTCAAATGTCACTTAAGGATGACAGGAACTGGATTAACATGTTTGAACGTTAGGGTACTGAATTATTACATTTTAAAGTTTCAGAATTAAAATGGTATAGACCCAAAATACAGGGTATCAATCTAGAATTTTCCCTAAAATAAAAGAATAAACACTATTTGAGCTAAAAAAATCTGAATTATACATATAATTAGGGGTGACAAATTTTCCCATCATCCCCCACAAGCTGGATTTTCTGCCCACTGCTCTCTACCCACCTTGAATTGCAGCCACACATTGCCATCTTGTTTTATGAGATTTGTGGCTGCAATGTACTGTGGACAGTGTACAGGCAGAGAAAGTGAATACGAAATCTAGATTCCATCTCCATTGCTAGGCCTGATCGGGTTGGGTATGGAGACCGTGCTGGTAGGGATGGAGAATAATTGGGATACTGGCCAGGTCAGATTCGGAGATGGGGGTGGTGAAATCCCATCCCACTCCAAACCCAAATGAAATATATTTTGAATATTTTAAAATTATTATTTATATTTTAAATTTAAAAATAGTTTTATATAATTACGTTAATGCTACTGCAGATATATGTTCTTAGCCCCAAAAAACCAGCCCTAGCTCCACAATGGTAGCTATTTTGGTGTTATATATGTGAGAATTAGCTATATATTCAGTTGATTTCAAATGGATGTTGGTGAAGTGCTAAACCAATTTATATTGATGTATTTCTTTTTTCTTTTAAGTAAATCTTTTTCCCAACCATATATGATATCTGAGGCCAAAAATAAAATTTTAATTTAAAAAAAAAAGAGTTTAAGTATTTGAATCTTCAATGGGGAGGCCATTTCCATTGGAGGTAGAGTTTGGCATGGGGATAGGGATGGAGTATAGTCCCTGCCCCATTGCTACGAAGGAACTTAATTCAGAAAAGAAATAAAATACAGAGAAAGTGCATTGAAATTGAGCTACCAACCAACCATAGCAATAGTCGACACAAGTCAAGATAGATCACTTGCATGGAAGAGGGGTATTAATTATTAAAGCTGCCTACAGTTCCAATTTAAAACTCCAATATGCTTTCAAAGCAGGATCAGTCATGGCAAATGATAATGACTTCTTTCTTTATTGCATTTATTGCATTAGGCCCAAACAGATTACCTTTTGGAAACCTAGTTGAAACTTCACTGCTGTCTGAATACTTATTTTGCTCAAAATGGTTGTTCAGTTCTTTTGTATGTGTGTATTTTGGGGTGGTGCGTGCTAAGGCGTGTGGAGACTCTGCATCTTTAAGAATTTAAAGCCATGTTTGGGATTGTTTATGTTAAAAATAAATTCTAAAAACAAGTGTTTATTCGAATAAGTATTTATTTGTATTTGATACCCAATTTTTTCAAGTGGCATTCATATTTTATATTGGTTATTTGATAGTTTTTTTTTAATAAGCACTTAAATAGCCATTTGTGGCTATTCTGTCTTTTATTTTCTTTTAATTTTCAAAATATACCTTTATGAAAGTACTTTTATAAAAACATTTTTATAAAAATACTTTCATGAAAGCACTTTTATAAAATACTTTTACGAAAGTACTTAAAAGTACTTTTATGAAAAACACTTTTACAATTTTATAAAGGAAGAGAAAGACAGAGAAACCAATACAAGGGTTGTAAATGTTTCCCTACCTTTCCCTTTCTTTCCTTACATTTTCCTTCAGACCAAACATAGCATTAATGAATGCAATTTGCCTTTTGGAAAAAAAAAAAAATCCAATCCTATTAAAAATGAGGATAAATTGCTGAAACATCCTCTCAATATCAAGTTTGGTAATTGCAATCATTTCTTCTGAATTTTTTAATTTAGTTGCTACTAGATGCCTTCTCTTAGAATTCTCTAATAAGAAGCACAAAAAAGTCCAAAATACCCATACAATTATTTTGACCAAAATGTTTGTTTTCCAAGTTTCTTTTTTCTACATATGAATAACTGCACCAAATCCTTCCAATATCTTTTCTGAAATTGATTTATCCTTCAAATTTTCCTTTCATACCCATGCTCAAAAGTAAAATTGTAACTTTAAATTCTTTGGTTTTTTATAAGGTTTGTGTTGTTTTTTATGTAGAAACCAGCCTCAATAATAACTGTATGGGTATTTTGGACATTTTATTGTCTCTTTTTAAAGGATTCTAACAGAAGGGGTCTTACTTGCAACTGTATCAAAAAGTTCAAGGAAGGTTTTAGCAACGGTCTGAAAAATAAATTCAATAAGACTTGAACTTTATTAGATTTTAATGAAAATAAGATAATTAACCCAAGCTTCTTAGTGCAATTAAGCTAATTATATGTGCATATATTTACTACTACTACTTATAATAATAATAATAATAATAATAATAATAATAATAATAATAATAATAATAATAATAATAATAATAATAATAATAATAAT